GCGTGCAGCAGAATCAGCAGATACTCCGCAGCAGCCTGGAGATGTACCCTGCACGGACGAACCACACGAGAGACGACAGAGACGTTCGCAGGCAGACCCCTGACCTTGATTGTGCAGAGCCAACTCCCCTTGTCAACCGAGAGGAGAAGAGATGCAGAGGGTGCAAGCGCACGATCGCAACTAACGCAGTCCCGGTGAGGTGTGAGCAGTGTCAAGGGCACTGGCACAAGGTGTATGTTTTCCGATTAGGGTTCACCAGAAAGCAGGTGGAACACTTTTATTAAATGCCGAACCACCAGGGCTGTATTTGCAGCGGGTGCGCCGAGAGAAGAGGCAGCACACCAGAGTCGGAGAACATGACGGTACCAGTGGAACCGGCACAGTACGAAGAAAAGATGACAAGACCGAAGCTTAAAGTGCTACAGTGGAACGCGAATGGGATCTCCACCAAAAGCACCGAGCCGGCAGAGAGGATGCACAACCTTGAAATCGACGTGGCTCTTGTTCAGGAGTACAAGCTGCAGAAGAAGAACAAGTCCCCAAAGGTACAAGGGTATGCTTGCATCAGAACTGACAGAGACGACGACCAAAAAAGAGGAGGTCTTCTGTCGTATGTGAAGAAATACTTGTTCTACGAGAATAGACCCGGCTGGAACCAACAGATGGGGATCGTGGAATCCAGCTCGTTCAGAGTGCGGGTGTGAGCAAACTATAGTGGCTGACGTTTTCGACTGTTTACACTCCGCCAAACAGAGACACGGATGAAGAAGACATAGTCTTCTGTCAGCTACCGACAGGAGCGAACTGCTTCACTGGAGGTGACTTCAATGGGCACTCGATTCTGTGAGACCTTGCTCAGCCGAGCGACAGCAGAGTAGAGAGTATAGAAGAGTGGATCGCGGACAACGACCTTCTGTGTGTCAAAGATGGATCGAGCACGTGCACTAACAGACGTTTAGGAAATGGGAGTACTTTGGTCCTGTTCCTCGTTCCTTCCGCAATGATGAGCAATGTCTAATGGACGCTTGGGGAAGATCTTGGAGCAAAGTCAGTGTCACGAAGACATAGAAAGCGAGCGCGAAGTGGCGCAACAAATGCGTCGATTGGGCAAAATTAAGCGAGGAAGTGGAGAAGAGGACGGGTGACTTCTACCCTTCAGTGAGACACTCAGGGCCGCAGCCCAGGAGACTGTTGTCAGAATGAAACTCAAGAAGGCCAAGCTAGCCCCCTTGAGCCCTGAGATCAGGGTCCTCGTCCAGAAGAGGAACAGACTTTGCCGCCAATTGAGCACGAGTAGAGAGGATTGGCTAGAAGCCACTAGACAAGTGAAGGACGCCTTCAGTGTGCAAAGAGAAAAGAAGTCGATGTTGAAATACTTGGAAGAGCTGGTCCAGAACCCCGACTTCAGCAGAATGTGGAGCCTGGTCGGCTCGCTTAGTGGCAGGCCTGATGCTACCCCGGTAAACGAAGCGTTGAACCACAAAGGGAGAACCATCACGTCTGATTTGAAGAAAGTGGATAGCAGTGGGATCAGCAGATTCGAGTTCAACAAGGAGGAGGGGGACAGGAACCGCGAACTGAAGAACTGCCTCCGTGTCCCCTGGGTCAACGACGAGAGCCTCAGAGACTTCAACGTGGAAGAAATGAAAGCGGCTATCAAATACATGAAAACGAAAGGAGCAGCATTTCCAGATGGCATCCCCCACCTTTTTGAAAACGCAAGGCCAGGAGGCGAGACAAGAGTTACTGGACATGTCCATCAGCACGGGGATTTGCGCGCAGGAGTGGCAAAACGAGACGATCATCCCGCTCCGCAAAGCAGGCAAACCGAGCAGCAAGGTGGAGTTTTCAGGCCTGTTAGTCTCAATTCCTGTGTGGTTAAGACGTTGAAGAGAATGATAGCCGGCAGACTGAGCTACCTGGCAGAGACAAGAGGTTGGCTTACTGACAGCCAAGCAGGCTTCCGAAAAGGCAGGAGCTGCGAAGACCAAGTGGTCCGCATTACTTAGTCAATCAGTGACGAGTTTCAGAAGAAGTTTGGAGGCAGATCCTATGACAGAGTTTGGAAACAGGAGCTTCCTGGGACAATGATGGAAATGGAAAAAGATGTCCCCCTTAAAATCCTTCGATGAATTGCTGGGATGAACTGCTGGCTTCGTGAAAAACAGACAAGGAAGAGTGCATTACGCGAACTCGATCGGCAGGTTTTTGAGAAATTGCCAAGGAGTCCCGCAGGACGCAAAATCGGCTCGAATAGTACAAACCGAAGGAAAACTCCGATTTGCGCGCAGTAGTGGCAAAACGAGACGATCATCCCGCTCCGCAAAGCAGGCAAACCGAGCAGCAAGGTGGAGTTTTCAGGCGAGTTTCAGAAGAAGTTTGGAGACAGAGCCTTTGACAGAGTTTGGAGACAGGAGCTTCTTGGGACGATGATGGAAATGGAAAAAGATGTCCCCCTTAAAATCCTTCGATGAATTGCTGGGATGAATTGCTGGCTTCCTGAAAAACAGACAAGGAAGAGTGCAGTAGGCGAACTCGATTGGCAGGTTTTTGAGAATTTGCCAAGGAGTCCCGCAGGAGTCCCCCAGGGCACGAACTCGGCTCGAATAGTACAACCCGAAGGAAAACTCCGATTTGCGCGCAGGAGTACCAAAAGAAGACGATCATCCCGCTCCGCAAAGCAGGCAGACCGAGCAGCAAGGTGGAGTTTTCAGGCGAGTTTCAGAAGTTTGGAGACAGAGCCTATGACAGAGTTTGGTGACAGGAGCTTCTTGGGACGATGATGGAAATGGAAAAAGATGTTCCCCTTAAAATCCTTCGATGAATTGCTGGGATGAAATGCTGGCTTCCTCAAAAACAGACAAGAAAGAGTGCAGTACGCGAACTCGATCGGCAAGTTTTTGAGAATTTGCCGAAGAGTCCCGCAGGGCTCGGTGTTGCCCCCCCCCCTGCTGTTCCTGTGCTTCATCGACCCGCTTGTCGATGTCATTTCAGCTGATGTCTGATTACGCTGCATCGGATTGGCAACCCTGGCTCTCGGCGTCTCAGCTGGACAGACTGGACAGGGCCCAGAACAAGGCGCTGAGAAGAGTGACTGGGCAATCCTGCTCCACCCCAGCTATCACACCTTCAGCAGAAGGCTCACTGCAGTGTCCTGAGAGAAGGCGACGCGAGCGCACACCAACCATCCGTGAGAAGTAGCCAGCAGACCTCGGCCCCCCTCACAGACTCACGAGAAGCAACTGGAAACAGCAGGCGAGACGCGTCGGCAAGCAATTTCCTGCCGCGGTGGAGAACAGAGAGGGCCCCAAGCGAGAACGCGATGACAATTGGGAGTCGTACACTCAGCTGGACGGAATAGAGAAAGGAGCGGAGAAAGCACTGGAGCTCATCGCAGACTATGGGGCCGACGTCGTAATCTACACCGACGGATCAGCTGCGGCAGTTACCAATAAGGGAGTAGCAGGAGTTGTCGTCACTAGAGGCAATCCAGAGAACCCGACAGTGGTGAGTGAGGTGAAGATCAAAGGCAGAGAGCTGACGTCGCCCTACGAAGAAAGAGAAGCGATGCTGAGCGCGACAGAGTGGGAAATAAAGGCAGCGCCTGATGTCCGGAAGGTACTGATTTACTCGGATAGTCAATCTCTGGTGCTGTTCCTAAACAACTAATCTACTGATACATTTGAGAACAAAAGCAGCCTTGAAAATACATCAACGAAGACGGTTATACAACGGATACCGAGCCACGTGGACATACCCGGGAACGAAATGGCCGACACCCTTGCTAACGAAGCAACTACCAGTGAAGACCCGCCACAGCCCAGATGGTGCACCCTCCCACCCCAGAGTGGCCACTGTCTATAGCAAACTCTCACGGAAGAAGGATAAAGAAGCCATTCAAACACGAAAAGACGCGATTACCCTAGCTCGGTTGAGGTCGGGTCACCATGCAGCGTTTCGAGCATACAGAGACCTGATGGACCCGTCAATTGACCCTATGTGCAGAAGATGTGATTAAAATAGAGATACTGTAGAACACTGGCTTGTCTGCCACGGAACGGCAGCCGCACGCTTTGAACTCTTCGGATCGACGGTCAGAAATTTTGACAGAGGAAGCAGCCTTGACGATGGCGTTGGCAGTGAAGACGCCGCATTAGCAGTTTTCACTGATGCGTCCCCTCCATATTAAACAACAACAATTAAGCAAATGTGAATGAATCCTCACCTTTCTTCGCAATAGATCCAGATAAAATCTAAGTTTTGTAAACATACATTTGTTTTTCTATAGTAGCCAAAATTACCATTTTTGATATAACAGAACTGTTTGAATGTTTTTTTTAAAACCTAATTCACCCCCCCCCCCAATTAACTTTTCTGGGCTACATAAAATTATCATTTTGATAGAATTTATCTCACTTAATTTCAGCATAAACTTTGAGTGACTAAAAAGAGGCTAAATTTTGTCCAGCTTTTTTTGGGGTAACGTTTTGGCGACGAACTTCGCAAAAGAAGTTTCACCATATTGTAACTGACGAAATTCGAAGCACATTTTGCTCTCATCCTTTTTATCTAATAGTAACCCAATTTGAGTAACACACGCTCGAATTTTGCAATTTTGCTTGTTTTGTTATGTCCATTGATTATAAATCCGAATTATATAACGAGCAATTTTTCTACTTCGAACCGTTTAAAAGAAAAGACCCAGACACCTTCTTACATATACTTTTAAATATAGTAAACATAGCCGTATTAATTAAGAAATGAGGAAATCAGGAAAACTTGGAAGCAAATGATTCAAAACTAATGTTCAAATCAAGCAAATGCCCATAATACAGTTTGAAATGTCGCATTTTACTAATAATTTTTCTTAAATGTACTTTTGGCATTTGCTTGGTTTGAACCATCAGGTTTGAATCCTTTTTCAATTTTTTGCTAATTTGATTTAAAAAATTTGGACCTAATGAGTAAACAGGCCGAAAATCGAAATTTTTTGTTTGCAGGTCGCATCGTCCGAGTTCGAGTCGCAGTCAGAGAAGTCAAGGAAGTTCAAAGAGTCATGGCAGTGCGAGGAGTCACCGCAGCCCAGGGGCATCAGGGAGTCGACCAGGGTCACGTGGAACACATGCAAGTAACGCTAGACCAGGCTCGAAACATCGGAGTCACGCGAGCAGTGGAACGTCTCCTCATGGTGGAAAAAATCGGCGTCGATAGAAACAATCGAAGTACTAAAAAATCTAATGACAATTCCGGATATAAAATTGTGTATTTGACTGTATTGTGCCATAATGTTGAATCAGTTGATAAATTTTAAATGCGTTTAAAGTAAAACATATTTCAGAAATTCAGTTTTGTTAACTGGTTCAGTGTAAAAGAACGCTATAATGTAGAGGTCTAGAGAAAAAAGTGTTAAAAAGTACATATTACTCGATCTTCTTGGACAAATTTATATCCCAAAGATTCCCTTATATTCTTAAATATTTAAAAATAAACAACATAAAAGTTTTCTCAAACTGCTCAATTTCATTTTTTTTAAAGTTAAAATAACTATTGCGGACTATGAATAAAATGAACTGCTCCTGGTGATTTTAGATGATGTTTCAATTCGGCATGTCATCCAGCCAAATTATGACCAAGTGGTAACCGGTAAGAAGGAAATACAAAATAGACTAGAGATCTAAAAATTGCTGTGCATGATATGAGCAAGATTTTTAGGGCTACCGAACGATGGTTCGCTAGTGACTGCCTGGTTATCAGGAATCCATTATTTGATGCTCAATTTGAGAAACAAAATCCAAAAAAAGGTCCAATGACTTAAATTAACGAATAGTTGCCGCCACTGGAAGCAAACTTACGAAAACAGACAGCAAGTCTAGATTAGATGACATTAATTAACTACGGAGTAACAGTTGAATGCAATAAGGATGTTGTTTATCCGTTCTATCTGCCAGTAAAGAACATGGAACAATTTCATTTCAAAATTTAAAAGACAGTAAAAACGTGAGCGACTTCTATTTTATTTTTTGTTCCGACTTTCGATACGAAAGTAACGGAATATTTGTGCTCGGGGTGGGTTTTTTTTTCTTCAGACAAATTTCGACTTTTTAACTAGCCATTTTTGACGGAATTTTTTTTTTATATCATTCGAAAAGTATTATTGTCCTGAGCTCAAATTTGAAAAGATATTTCACCTGTGATCATTTTTTGTTAAGTAATGGGGGTTTAAAGATTGCCATTTTGGCCAATTTGGGACAATTAACGCGCGATATATTTCGCGCTATTAACGCGTAAGCGGAGAGTTAATCCGTCTTAGAAATCGTTCCAAATTGGTTAAAAGAAGCTTATTTGCCATAATTGGTTTGTTACAATGAACAAAATCTATCCTTTTGAACTTTGTATGGCGTGTGGGGGGATGATTTTCAAAAAAAAATCCAAATTTTAGAAATAAAAAAAAAATTTCATTTTATTTTTTCTTACATTTAATTTTTTACTGTTATTACTACTCCATAATCCTTAAAAGGCAGTCGGAACATTCAGGGCTTTGCCCTGATACGAGCAGTCTTGTTTAGTTTTCCCAGCGTAATAAAAAAAATGCGCAGCAACCTAGTTTCCTTAAATTGGATTAATTTATCAAAAAGTGTCAATCCTAACTTTTCGTCAAATCAATCCTAACTTTTCGAACTTAAGACCTAAATATAATTCTTTGTTCAAATTTGATTGCTTTAGGTTGCAAAAAAAACACCTTCAAATATCTGAAAACCATTGTATTGGAACATTAGATATTTGAGTTAGAGAAAAACTTTAGGAAAAACATTAGATATTTTAGTTAAAGTTATGAATTAGAAACTTCTTGATTAATAATTACTCGATCTTCTTGGACAAATTTATATCCCAAAAATTCCCTTATATTCTTAAATATTTAAAAATAAACAACATAAAAGTTTTCTCAAACTGCTCAATTTCAATTTTTTTAAAGTTAAAATAACTATTGCGGACAATGAATAAAATGAACTGCTCCTGGTGATTTTAGATGATGTGTCAATTCGGCATGTCATCCAGCCAAGTTATGACAAAGTGGTAACCGGTAAGAAGGAAATACAAAATAGACTAGAGATCTAAAAATTACTGTGCATGATATGAGCAAGATTTTTAGGGCTACCGAACGATGGTTCGCTAGTGACTGCCTGGTTATCAGGAATCCATTATTTGATGCTCAATTTGAGAAACAAAATCCAAAAAATGGCCCAATGACTTAAGTTAACGAATAGTTGCCGCCGCTGAAAGCAAACTTACGAAAAGAGACAGCAAGTCTAGATTAGATGACATTAATTAACTACGGAGTAACAGTTGAATGCAATAAGGATGTTGTTTATCCGTTCTATCTGCCAGTAAAGAACATGAAACAATTTCAATTCAAAATTTAAAAGACAGTAAAAATGTGAGCGACTTCTACTTTCGAAAGTAGAACTTAGTTTTCAGGATTCCAAATGAAATGAAAACTTTACCCGTTGATCAAGTTTTCTCAAATTGGGTTAATTTTATCGAAAAGATTGAATCAAAATTTGTTCTTGAATTTCAAAGAGCTGCAAGGCCATCTTTTTTCTACTTTGAAATTGCAAAGATGGAGTTTTGTCAAAGCAAATCAGTTTTTTTTCTGCTTCCTTGCGTTCACTAACTCTTTTCCATTTGTTTGTTGTCAATGTTACATTTAAAAATGTTGCTCTCTCTGCAATGCTTTAGTGCCGTTAATTGACAACTTGAACTTCAGTTTTTTCTTAGCTTTTAGCGGTTTTATTGACAAAAAAACACCTGCAGAGTGATTCAGGAGAAGTTTTTTCTCACGGTTAATCTATGCCAGAATACAGAAGATCTCATCAGACACGATTTTCTTTGTAGAATTGTGCATTTTTAACAAACTTGATTACAATTTCTTGTTTTGTAAAGTTTCTGAAATCAAATTAACAGTTTCCGTGTACTTTTCTACCAATCAAATAAGAAATAGTTATTGTGAGACTATGTCTTTTATTCGACAATTCGTTCCCTCCAAAATAATAGCAGCAAGTTTAAATGGAATCCAAGATCAATTAACTTCGTTTATTGTTTAAAATTTAGAAGAAAGTGACAGAAATTTAGACAATAATTGAAATTACAAATTACATCAAATAAGCAAAAAATTATGCACTGCGTTTGGCCAAAAAATTGAATGCTAATGGACAATTTTATGTGAAGTTAAAGAAATTTCTAAATTGTCATTTTTGTAAAGTGCTGCATATTTTAGCTGCCTTAAATATAATAACTCGGTAGTAATTGATTTATTTCTAAGACGAAGTTGCGAATGTGTCATTTTACAGTTTGCCTCCTTTTTGAAATCAAATTTGCTACTAACTTGCTATCAAATTACTTCCAAGCTGAAGAAATCGGCGCTCTTAGCTTAGTAATTAAGGGACATTTAATTTGCGATCAGTGTTTCTAAAGTTTTGTTGGTTCAAAAACTGCCAATTTTTCATTTGCCGAATTAAATTAATCGTCATTTCGAGCACTTATCTAAGGTTCTCAACGCGTAAGCGCATTCTAATTCAACGCTACAATTCGAGATTTGAAATTGTGAGTCATAATACATGAAAAATGCGTAAATCGTAAGAGGTTATTCTGGTTTTCTACAGCGAGAGCTATGTTTTACAGTCCTTTTTGTTCCGACTTTCGATACGTTAGTAACGGAATATTTGTGCTCGGGGTGGGTTTTTTTTTCTTCAGACAAATTTCGACTTTTTAACTAGCCATTTTTGACGGATTTTTTTTTTATCTTTCAAAAAGTATTGTTGTACTGAGCTTAAATTTGAAAAGCTATTTTACCTGTGATCATTTTTCGTAAAGTTATGAGGGTTTAAAGATTGCCATTTTGACCAATTTGGGACAATTAACGCGTGATATAATTAGCGCTATTAACGCGCAAGCGGAGATTTAGTCCGTCTTAGAAATCGTTCCAAATTGGTTGAACGAAGCTTATTTGCCATAATTGATTTGTTACAAGGAACGAAATCTAGCTTTTTGTACTTTAAATGGCGTGTGGGGCGATGATTTTCATAAAAAATTTCAACTTTTAGAAGAAAAAAAATTTCATTTTATTTTATTTCATTTAATTTTTAATGTTATTACTGCTGCTCCATAAACCTTAAAAGGCAATCGGAACATTCAGGGCTTCGCCCTGATACGAGCAGTCTTGTCTTGTCTTTATAAATCAGAAGAGAATGATCGTATCAAAATCCACAAAAACGACACAGCAAATGAGCAGTACATATCAAAAAGCTGGTGTCTTTTTGTTCCGACTTTCGATACGAAAGTAACGGAATATTTGTGCTCGGGGTGGGTTTTTTTTTCTTCAGACAAATTTCGACTTTTTAACTAGCCATTTTTGACGGAATTTTTTACATCATTCGAAAGCTATTGTTGTCTTGAGCGTTTATTTGATAAGATATTTCACCTGTGATCATTTTTCGTAAAGTTATGAGGGTTTAAAGATTGGCATTATGGTCATTTTGACCAATTTGGGACAATTAACGCGCGATATAATTCGCGCCATTAATGCGTAAGCGGAGATTTAATCCGTCTTAGAAATTTTTCCAAATTGGTTGAAAGAAGGCTTTTTGCCATAATTGATTTGTTACAAGGAGCGAAGTTTATTGTTTTGTACTTTATATGGCGTATGGGGGGATGATTTTCATCGAAAAATTTATTTTATTTCATTTAATTTTTTTATGTTGTTTATGTTATTACTGTTCCATAAACGGTAAAAGACAGTCGGAACTTTCAGGGCTTCGCCCTGATACGAGCAGTCTTGTTTAATTCATTTTGACCCGATTACTTGAAGGCGGCAGCAAAAAAGCTTAGTCACATAGCAGAAACGAAGACGGCGAAATTAGTAGCAAACGCAAAGCTAATTGAAATTTCGAGAAAAGGAAAAATTATAATTGTGTAGCATAATTGACGTGATTGCGAAAAAAATAACGAGCTGTACAAAAACTAGGGTTGTTTTTCATTAATTTTTTTTGTTAAACGGATTTGTTGATCGGAAAACTGTTTTTGCTGCATTTATGTGAAAGATTAAAATGTTAAATTTGTGTTAAGTGAAGACCGTTTGTATCAAGGCAAAAGTCTTCAAAAGTTGACTGCATTTTTATGTCTTTGACATAC